TCGGGTTGCAACCAGAGTCACGGAACGAATTAAGTTCGTAAACCGAGGTTCCACTGTATTTTGTTTCAGTAACAAAAGGATTAGTTCTTTGGGGGTTATTTTTGATAACCCAAAACTTTCAATGCTTTCAAAACAGAACTGAAAGATGCCAGCAGTTAGGTTCTGTTCAATTTAGAGAGAATGATTATAAGTGCAGTTTCTTTTATGTGATCATATATTGCATAATGCATACAGAATAATATAGATATACATGCACTACATACCTACACACTAACACGTGCAGCTATGATATATGCATGCACCTGTGTTTAGACACATACACTTGTACAGGAAGTCCTCGTTTAGCAACCACAATTGGGACTGGCAACTCAGTCGTTAAGCGAAGCAGTCACTAAGTGAAACCACAACTGTGCTTCCGATCTGACTTCAACTTCCCTTTGCTTTACAGACCTGAAAAGGCTGTAAATGCGAGAAATGGTCACAAAGTTCCTTTTCATCATACTTTTAGGCAGTTGCTAAACAAGGACTACCTGTATAGTGTTTTTTCGGGGTGCGAAGCACTTGTAAAGCAGAGCCAACATTCTAAATCCAAGAGAAGCTACCCGAAAGATCCGCTTACCATGAATCCTTTCAACGTCCGATAAAAAGGATCCAGGAGGAGACAAGCTACAGAGCAGACCTGGGCTGTGCGGTCCCAGCCATCCGAGCAGTGCACCACCACGCTGGCACTCTCATCTTTGACCGCCTGGAAGAAGGACACGGATACAGGCACTTAAGATTTTTTTTTTTTAAAGCAGTGATGCAAAGTTGCTGTCAGGCACTGAGCTCTGCAATGTCACCAGACAGAAAAAAAGGACAAATGCAAAACTGTAGGAACGAAGGAGGGATGGAAGCAAAAATGCCTCCTTTTATAGCTGGGGTCCTCCCTTTGTGGCAAGGAGTCCTTAAGACAAAACCAGAGAAATACACTTTTTTTTTTCTCATGAACCCATGGACATTACAGACCCACTGGTACATCTCCTAACCTTAAGAGTATTTCAAATTTCCCTGATGAATACTCTGCCTGCTGTCTGCATCCAAACTGTCTCCGTGCAGAAACCAGTAGCCAGGAGAAGTTTGGAACGGCTGGGCTGACCTCTCATTTTTCCTGTTTTTTTCTAGCTTTAACTCACCCCCCAGACAAGAAAGGCTGCACGCTGGTGAACATCCAACTTTTTCAGGAATAATGCAAAACGTTGCAAGTTCAGAGGTTGCTCTACCTTCGCAAGGAAGACTCCAGCATCCATCACGGCTTTAATGTGTCGCAACCAGCCCGAGTTCTCAAGGCCTGTGAGGAAGTCGCTCATCGAAGGAGATTTTGCTTCACACACTAAAAAGGAACGAGAGCCAAGGTTTCCGTGAGAGGCAGCCAAGGGAGCAACCGGGGGCCCCCAGATTCCGATGAGTCACAACTTCTGCATCCGATGGTGATCTCTTACCAACAGTTCTCAGAAAGCGCAACTCAAAATAAATTTTTCTTGCTTTTAGGAGGAAACCAAAAGCAGTTTGGCCAAATACCCTGGATAATTTAGGGAAGGGTAATCACACCAAACGGAAGACGAAGTCCCTAATTCTTGGCCGTTGTCGCTAGGAGACTCCAGAGCTTTACAAGGTATGCTCCAAGTCAAAAATGAGGCATTGGGATTACGAAGGTGCCAAGAAGTGCCTACCTGATACAAGTGACAACCGGTGAGATGCACTGAGAAGCCAAAGGATTCCCCTTGGGGATGGGGATCATTCCATTTCCAAAAGACTTGGCCGGGGAGTGTCAATGCTGCCCCGCCCTCATTAGAAAGCTGGCCATTCCTCATCTAACAAAACAGTATAAACATCTGCAGCTCAAATTCTCTAAACATCTTCCCAGAAGTGCCTTAAGGATCAACAGCTTCCCATCTTCCAAGCTTCCCTTTTCACCTGCTTTCCGCACTGTGCCCCTCCAGACAGTCACTCATATCCTCATCATTTCATACCTCAACTACTGCAATGTATTTTAGGTGGGGCGGACCTTGAGGACGCCGCAGAAGCTCCAGCTGGTCCACAATGCAGCGGCATGAGCAGTAGAGAGCAAGCCTCTGTATGCCCACGGAGCACTTCTGCTTCATAAGCCGCACTGGCTTCCAGTTTGCTTCTGGGTATGGTTCAAGATGCTGGTGATGACCTCTAAAGCCATGCACCGCATAGGGCCTGGTTGTCTGTGGGGATTGCCTATCTCCCATGATGTTTGCCCAGATGATATGAGCCAACAGACTGGGTGTACTCCAGGTATTCTCCGTTAAACAGTGTTATCTATCAGGGCCTAAGAAGCGCACCTTCTCTCTCGCGGTGGCTGCCCTCTGGAATGGGCTCCCACTGAAATGCAGATGCTTCCCATGCTAACGGTGTTCATGGGGCCCTTAGAGTCCTGGCTGTTTTCCCAGGCTTTGGAGTCGATCCCGACTCGGATGTGTTTGGCATATGCTTTGAGATTAGTTGGCTGGATTTTTCATCTTGCTTATTTATTTTATTTTTCTTCACCCTACCATGTTTTATTTTGTTCTCCTTATGTTGTTAGCTCCCCAGAGTTTGTCTGGAACTGGGTGGCACCAAAACCAAATAAATAAGCAATAAAATCTTACAACTTAAGTAACAAACCAACATTTATTTATAACACATCCTGCACCGTTACACCAAAGCGATTCAGTCAAAATATAGCATGATGTATTTACATCCCCAGTAAAAATAACACTTTCCTTCTGCATAGTTTATTACTGCAAAGTGTAATGCCAGCTAAGAGGTCAAACCAGCCGAACAAGCCAAGGACACATTCAGAAGTTTATTCTACTAATGTCCCCCATTCAGATGTTCCATACTGGTCTGTGCAGGCAGGTAGCTAAGAAGCACATCAAATCCTACCTTCTAGGAGCTTCTGGAGGCTGCTCCTCATCACATGGATGTTTTCAATACCAATGAATTTAAAACGGATGCAGTCATAATTATCAACGTTCTCGTAGCCTTTGCCAGCAGCTCGGTTGGCCATGGCGTTCAACTAGGAAAATCCAATGACATTTATTATTACTGGGTGTATTTGCTGCTCCGATTGTATTCAATCGAACTGGCTTTCGTACACTATTCTGTCACATAAAGATAAAAAGATGCATACAAATGAAAAAAAAACCTCACTATTTTGTGCCAGAGACAACAAACAAACTCAATTCAAACATTCACCGCATCCCAAGAGGGAAAACTTCATTCCATATCTGTCTCCAGGGCCTGTTCAAAGAGCAAGCTTTAATCACTTTCTAAAGCCCAGGAAAGCTGGAGCCCTATGGATCTCAGGGGGGATCCTGCTACAAATAAGGGGGGAAGCGGTTGGAAAGGTCTGCTTCTGAGATCCCTAAGTGACATTCCCTGGATCTAAAGAGAGCCTCTTCTACCTGATCTTACTAGATGGGCAGAAACAACTGGTAGAAGTCCATTCCAAAGTTATCCAGGTCTTGAGTCATGGAGGACTTTAAGGTGACACCTGGAACTGCCCCTGGAAACATACTGATGACCAGTGCAGTTCTCTGAGTTGAGGTGTTACGTGGGCAAATCGCAACATGCCCATCTCTCCTCAAACCACTGCATTCTGGATTAGTTGTGGCTTTGGAGTGGTCTTCAAGGGCAGCTCCAAGTAGACCTTATAAAGCCCTACATGGCATGGGTCCAGCTTACCCAAGAGACTGTCTCACCCCCATTACATCGACCCGTCCCACCCAGTCTGGCAGAGAAAGCATGTTGGACTTTCAGAGCAACCACCTAATCACAGTCACATTCTGGACTGAGCACCAACTGTTCAGAAGAGCAGTGAAGACACCAGACTGACGGGACAAATTCGCTGAAATTAAAAAAATGTATCTTCTGCCAACAGAAGCGAATATGTGTAGCTCAGGGTTGAACTGTGGAGTCCTTGGGGTTCTCTGAGCTTGGTTGTTTTCTTGCAAGCATTTCGTTACCCGGCTAGGTAACATCTTCCGTGCTAAAATGGAATGGCGTTTGCTCTCTGTAGAGCATTCGAGCACTGATTTTTGAAAAGCTACTCCCTCAAGATGCAAAACCAGCCTAACTGTCTCTTGGAATCTTAGTCTTTCTGTGTCTTCCAAAGAATATAGCTTTGGAAGGAATTATTTCCCTTCTCATCATTGTTAATATATATCAGGAGACAGAATAAGAGTCCATGCCCATTTCTCCACTTGGTCCACTGCACATTATTATATCTGCCAAATGCTGTTTAACTTTGAAACATCTGCTTTACATGTTTGCTGGTCAAAGATTTTTTTGAAATCAGCATGAGTTAGATGTGACCAGACGGTCTTATCCAGTGTACCCCTGTCGCCCTGAGTACCCCCCAGTTACCCAGTACCTTGAGACTGTCAGCATCTTAAAGCTAAATCCAAAAATGCGAGGGAATCCTGGAAGCTTGGTGTTCAGACAAGGCAGCCATCAACAGGCACACAGAGATAAACAGCATCTACACACTATTCAAGAGAGACAACAGGAAGGAAAACAAAAGACCAGAACATCTCCT